TCTATTTTATTGCACTAAACTAACCTTTATATACCTACACATCATTCAGATGTGTATAAGAGACAGCCGATGCAAAGTTTATTCACCTTCTTTTGTCACAAATGAATCCTGTACTTTAAGTTTCAGCTTAGTTACTACACCTTTCCTAGCATGAGTGTTTTCTGGATGATCTTTGCATGTTTCTTGCTTCTCATGCACAGGAGAAGATGTCATACTAAGTCGTCGACTGATCTGTTGGTATTCATTGCTGTAGTACTGGCTTTTATTGATGTACTGGTCAATAGTAGCACACATTGGATCTCGGTAGTACAATTCTCTTTGGGGTTCCTTTTCCACTTGTTGCAGGAGTGTAGTCAGTGTTCCAGACTTCTGGATGTATGGTCGGTGGAGCTCCCAGTTTGTGTCAAGACCTGTCTCTTATACACATCTAGATGTGTATAAGAGAACTGTTTTCTAACTGCAGGGGAGCAGGCGGGTGTACACTAATGCGGGATTTTACCTGACTTGCCTGGTGCTGACCGTCACTATCAGCCTGATTCGAGCTTGGACCTTCGTGTACAGACATTTGAAATTGCTATCAAATCAAAAGGTAGAAACACTGTAAAAGTATGTCCTACAGTACTGCAAATGGTTCTTCGGAATTTCCACAACACGTTGCCACCATGTATCGTGATGGAGACACTCATATGTAAACAATACAGTCAGGCTACACACAAGCTCATTGTTCAGCCATCATCTTTATTGAACAACAACAGCGTACCTCAACGTACGAGGTCGAATGTCACCTCACAACTATGGGCGGCCAAACGGGCCATCACGTAACACAGGTCAGTCATACGGAAGGCTTAGTATGTTGGGATGCATGTCAGTCATTAGGAAGGTTAAGTATGTTAGGGTGCAGGTCAGATATAAGGAAGGTTAAGTATGTTGGGATGCAGGTCAGTCATAAGGAAGGCTTAGTATATTGGGTGCAGGTCACTTATAAGGAAGGCTTAGTATAATGTTGGGGTGCAGGTCAGTCATAAGAAAGGTTAAGTATGTTGGGTGGATGCAGGTCAGTCATAAGGAAGGTTAAGTATATTGGGATGCAGGTCAATCGTAAGGAAGACTTAGTATGTTGGGGTGTAGGTCAGTCATTAGGAAGGTTAATTATTATTATTATTATTATTATTATTTAAGTATGACTTCTTGTTATATACTCTTTGCTTGCATGTTACTTGCTTGCAACATACTAAGCCTTCCTAATGACTGACCAGCACCCCAACATACTTAACCGTCCTAGACTGACTTGTATCCCAACATACTTAACCTTCCTTATGACTGACCTGCACCCCAACATACTTAACCTTCCTAATGACTGACCTGCATCCCAACATACTTAACCTTCCTTGTGACTAACCTGCACCCCAACGTACTAAGCCTTCCTTATGACTGACTTGCACTCCAACATACTTAACCTTCCTAATAGGGAGCTTTTGATTTGTGCGACGACATGATGCTAGAACGAAATCTCTCATGCGTGACTGTCCTACCTGGCATCCTACGTCCTCTGCATATGTAGATTTGGCCAAATTGCGTTCCAGAATCTACTCGAGGAGGTGACCTGAACGTTCTCGCGTGCGCAGATAACTTCTTAATTACATCATTATGTTCTACGTCCTACCAAAGAGTATAAATAGAACAAGAGAGCCAACTGTGCTCATTGAGAGCGTAAAAGATGATACACCATACGCAGCTAGTGTAGGACACCAACTTAACGCTTGTATGCTCTTTTTATTACTCAGTACTCCACCGCGCACGGTCAGTTTGTCTGTTTATCTGTTCTCCACAAGATACAGTACTTTTGTTTTTTACCTGAGTTCATAGGGGGCATACAAAAAAAATAAAAAGTGCACACAACTGTCAGTGGGCGTCCTACGCAGATGTGACGTTTTTAAAAACGGGAGTATGCTCTCTTGTTCTATTTATACTTTTTGGTCCTACTGTCATCGTGCAATCGAAAGCTCCCTAATGATTGACATACTTAATAATAACCTTCCTTATGACTGACCTGCACCCTAAAATACTTCCTTCCTTATGACTGACCTGCACCCCATCATACTTAACCTTTCTAATGACTGACCTGCATCCCAACATGCTTATCCTTCCTAATGACTGACCTGCACCCCAACATACAGTACTAAGCCTCCCTTATGACTGATCAGCATCCCAACATACTAAGCCTTCCTTATGACTGACCTACACCCCAACATACTAAGCCTTCCTTATGACTGACCTGCATCCCAACATACTTAAATAATAATAATAATAATAATAATAATTAACCTTCCTAATGACTGACCTACACCCCAACATACTAAGTCTTCCTTACGATTGACCTGCATCCCAATATACTTAACCTTCCTTATGACTGACCTGCATCAACCCAACATACTTAACCTTTCTTATGACTGACCTGCACCCCAACATTATACTAAGCCTTCCTTATAAGTGACCTGCACCCAATATACTAAGCCTTCCTTATGACTGACCTGCATCCCAACATACTTAACCTTCCTTATATCTGACCTGCACCCTAACATACTTAACCTTCCTAATGACTGACATGCATTCCAACATACTAAGCCTTCCGTATGACTGACCTGCACCCCAACATAATTAACCTTCCTTATACCTGACCTGCACCCCAACATACTTAACCTTCCTAATGACTGACATGCATCCCAACATACAGTACTATAAGCCTTCCTTGTGACTGACCTACACCCCAACATACTAAGCCTTCCTTATGACTGACCTGCATCCCAACATACTTAACCTTCCTTATGACTGACCAGCACCCCAACATACTTATTTTGTGGTAGTAGCGCACTCTTCATTTCTTTGCATGCATGCAAAAATAAGGATAGTCGGGCATCTTGCAATTCTATATCTTTGATGCAAGTCAGTTATAAGGTAGCTAGTATGAGTTCCAGTGAAATCAAAGTGAATTTTGAACCTCTGGTGAAATGATACAGCATTGTCCAATTTTCAGTTTTATAGTTTTCTTGTCTTTTTTATACTTTGTCATTGGAGTAATTAACTAAATTTTTCTTAGGACCACAAGAACCCAAGAATGGTGGCAAAAGTCAATTAGCTATTATGCACTTGTCAATTGTAACCCCCCCCCCCCGCCTAGCGGGGACTTAACCATGCGGGCATCATTTTAACATACATCCCCGGCTAAGTCCCTGTCACCTATCGCCGGCAAATATTTCGTAGTCCCGGTAAAACACCCAGCTAATAAATGATTGAATGATAAGGCCATGCCTACCATAGCAAACAGCGAGACAAAAACAATTTGAAGGTCTAGCCCATCTGTCAAGCCTATGTCTGAATCATAGAAGCATGTGAGAGCTAGGCCATGGAGATGAGTTTGCTTGATGGAAGCACTACACATGCGTATCACTAGGCAGATTTCCATGAACTGATTTAACAAAAAATATTCACTCGACACAATAACGTCTCCTCGGTCTCCATCTTTATGTGGTGGAGGTTCGAATTTTATTGTGAAATTTACACCGTGATCTATAAAAAATGAAACCATGATGGTAGGCCTAGAGTACCGGTAGGCAATTCTTAATTACCAAAATACACAGCAATTGCTGAATGCCTTGGCCCAGTGTAGGCGAATAGCTAGAAACATCAGAAACCCAGGCTGTTCCAATGTGTAAAATTTCCGGCCCTTTTCGATGGCAGTAACATTTATGGGTGAATTTTAGGTACGTCATGGCACAATGGCGACACAACTATGCATACGTCCCCGGCCAGTGCCTCGCTATGGCCTGGGTCCAGGACTACAATTGATAAGTGCATTAAGGATGTGGCACATTTAAGATGTAAGACACAGATGAAGCTGGACATTTTTGGTGATCATAGAGCCTTGGTGGCAATGTAGAGCAGTGATAGACTTCTAGTAATGTGGAGTGTTGATGGTGGTGTGGGAGGCTTTGATGGTGAAAGATCTATTAGTGATGTGCAGCAGCGCCGATGCAAAGTTTATTCACCTTCTTTTGTCACAAATGAATCCTGTACTTTAAGTTTCAGCTTAGTTACTACACCTTTCCTAGCATGAGTGTTTTCTGGATGATCTTTGCATGTTTCTTGCTTCTCATGCACAGGAGAAGATGTCATACTAAGTCGTCGACTGATCTGTTGGTATTCATTGCTGTAGTACTGGCTTTTATTGATGTACTGGTCAATAGTAGCACACATTGGATCTCGGTAGTACAATTCTCTTTGGGGTTCCTTTTCCACTTGTTGCAGGAGTGTAGTCAGTGTTCCAGACTTCTGGATGTATGGTCGGTGGAGCTCCCAGTTTGTGTCAAGACATTGGAAAAGAATATCTGCAAGAATTTTGTAATATCAATAATGAAGAATTACCTAACTTTTGAAGTGAATAATATTTATATAACAAAGATCCTGTAAAGGGGCCATTGCCATTGCAATTATTTAGATCTCAATTGAGTTGCGTAGAATCAAGTTTCTTGTAAAGGACATACGCATTTGAAACTACAGCCAGGTGGTGTTCAGGAATAAATTCAATTATGCAATCTGGGTATCCCTCTAATGCACTGCACTGCATCAGCAACATAAAATATTAAGATTTAGTATCAAATTATAACAACATATCAAGAAAAATACATCAAAGTTGAGACTTGCCTGGTCCAAGCATATTCTTTACTGGATATGAATGATAATGGAAGATGTCAAGAGGTGTTGGACTTCTTGCTGATGTGGGCTGGTACTTCTTGATTGGAATAGAGCTGTTGAAAAGATAAGTAAGGGATAATAAATAAATACCAAAGTATATGAAATCAAAACATCTTGGCTCTAAAGCTGCATTCACATCGGATCTAACTGAAATTCAGACTGCTTTTCTGAAGCGCTAAATGCCAGTATCCCTATTTCTTACACACCGATTTGATTTTCTGATCGGTTCAGTAAGCCTTCCAATCCAAATATTTGGATTCAGTATGAATGCACCGTTAGATGATGACATAATCTGTCTAGAAAAATGGTAAACACTCTCTGAGCAGAAGCAACCACTCCTGTGGCTTATTCAAAGTTTGCAAAACTCAACTATGCCTACTACAAACTACAACATAGCACGAAGGTGACACAAGTAAAAAAACCACTACTTGGCATAATGCTGGAATCCTGTATTATTTTGGTACCATCAGAAAAGGAACTTACCAACCTTTGATTGCATTAGTGATGGCATGATTTTGCCAGAAGCATCCTATCAATTTTTACCACCTGGTATGGTTGTTTGTACGTTCATTTGTTTGTGTGAATCAAAGGTACTACACAGGTGTTAATGTGGCTTCCTTTAGCGAATAGTTTATCAGCCATTGTCAATCCACTGCTGGATGAAGGCCTCAGTATGACTTTTCCAAAATTTCCGGTCTTGTGCAATGACTGACTAATTACAGGTTTTCCAATATTGGTCTATCTCGTCTCTCCATCTTTTCCCTGGTCTTCCCCTTTTACTTTTTCCTAGATAAGGTGTCCACTCGGTGATTAAAGCACTCCATCTGTTATCGTACGTCATGAGATGTGTCCTGCCCAGTTCCATTTCTTTTTCTTAATCGTTGTGACCAAACCATTGACTCTTGTCTCTAATCCAATTGAGTGTTTTTCTGTTTCTGAGTGTGATGTTCAACATACTTCTTTCCATCTTGTGTCACTGCGAGTTTGAGTTAAAGGTTCTTTGTGATGGTCCAAGTTTCGCTGCCATATGGTGGCTGGGATAATGCATTGGTTGAATACTTTTCTTTTTAGATATAATGGTAGTTCGCTTTTCATTATATGTGGCAAAGACAAGCCAAACCAGTCACTCGTCGCAAATCGTGTTTCAGAGAAAATGGCCAAATCATGCTGGAATGTCAAATTTTTGAAAATCTATTTTATTGCACTAAACTAACCTTTATATACCTACACATCATTCTATGCTGTTATTTTCCCAATGTGCAATGTTAAAACAACATTTCTTAAGGATTTGATGATAGTTTCTGCATGAGAAATGCCTGAAATCATAAACTTTGAAGGCTGATTTCTCATATATAGTTCTTTAAACAGCTGTGTGTTTAAACGCTCGTAACTTCATAAGGAAATGTCTGATTTGAATGATTTTTTTACCATTTTATAGCTATTATTTTACTCTCTAACACTGTATTAATAACTCAAAATCGATTTTTGCGATGAGTGACTGGTTTGGCTTGTCTTTGCCACATATTCTTATGTCTGGCAAAGGCTCCACATCCTGCTCTTATTCTTCTTTTGATTTCTTTTTCTTGGTCTTTATCTCTCAGGGAGAACCTTTGTCCCAGGTATTCGTCTTCCTTTTGAACTTCAGAATCATTTATTTTTTAGACTTTCTGTATAGTATCGGCATTTGACATAAATTTTGTATTGCTCATGTTCATTTTTAGGCCTGCTTTCTTGCTTTCCCTTTCAAGATCTTCCAGCATCTTTTTTAGGTGATCTCTTGAGTGACTTATTATAACAATATCATCAGCAAAACGAAGATGGGTGAGATTTTCTCTGTTTATGTTAACTCCCATTTGGTCCCAATTGATTGACTTGAATATTTCTTCATGGGTTGCTGTGAATAACTTCGGTGAGATGGTTATATTGGGATATCATTGCTCTTTTTGTGTAATGTGACTGTGTTGTAGCAATCTGTATGTATGTCTTTGATAATGTTAATGTATTTGTTGTCTATTCCTTGTTTTTGTAGGGCTTATATGACTATCTTTGTCTCAACGGAGTCAAATGCCTTTTGGCAATCTACAAAGGCTATCCATAATTCTAGATTGAATTCTTGACATTTCTCTTGAAGCTGGTTCATTGTATGGATGTGGTCTGTTGTGGAGAAGTCCTGCCTAAATCCAGCCTGTTCTCTAGGTTGATTTTCATCTAGTATGGCTTCTAGCCTGTTGGTAAGAATTCTGCTGTACAGTTTGTACAGGTTTGATAGTAGACAGATGAGGGCGATAGTTTGTCAGGTCTATTTCATTTTATTGATAGCATGCCTGACTTCCCAGCTTGTTATTGTAGGTATTGATGCTTTATTATAGTTGTGTGGTTGCAGTGGTTGCAATAGTGCTTCGTTGCTGTTGTATAGGTCTTTATAAAATTCTTCGTCTCTTTTTAGGATTCGGTCTTGGTCATGGATTGTTTCTCCTCCTCTGTTATTTAGACAGTTATCTTTTGTTTACCTTCCTCTAGCCTTATGTTTTCTTTAGACCTCTGTTATTCTCAATAGTTAATTTAATTTCTGTAGTGTTGTAATTTCTAATATCATCTCTCGGTTTCTTCCTAATTGTCTTACATGTTTCTGCATATTCTATGTTTCGCCTACTGTTCCCATTGTTTTTCATCTCCCTCCTTTTTTCCATTAGTTTTTTGGTTTCTTCAGAAATTTTGTTGATCTTGTGCTTTTGCTTGTTTTTGCCTGCAACTTTTATAGTCGAGTCTGGTATTATTCTGGTAACGATGTCTAGTGTTTGTTCATGAGGCTCGTTCTCTCTAATTTTGGTTTCTAAGCTTTCAAGTCTGTTCGATAGTTCTATCTGAAATTATCTTCTTTCTTTTAACTTTGTTAAATTTGATTTTGGGTGTTTGCTTTTGATTAGTTTTTCTCTTTCTAGTCTTGTGTTAAACTTTACTTTTGCTATCACTAATTTATGGTCGCTTTCTGTGTTCACCTTGTTGATAACTGTGACATCTTTTATGATTTCTGGTTTGTCTGCAAGGATCAGATAAATTTGGTTTCGGGTTCTTCCATTTGGGCTCCTCCATGTCTATTTAGGATGGTATTTTTTTCTAAAGAATGTGATCATGATTTTGAAGTTGTGGTTTATTGCAAATTCTACCATTTTGATCTCCCCTGTCATTTCTTTCACCATATCCAAATTGGCCTACTACTCCTCGATCATTATCTTCAATTTTACCTACTTTTGCATTGAAATCTCCGATTATGAGTGTGTAGTGTTCCTTTTTGCCATTTAAAATTTCTGTTATGTTTTCATAGTGCTGCTTCATTTCTTCGTCGCTGGTTGGTGCATAAGTCAGAATAATTTTCATGTTGTATCTTCTGTTAATCTTGATTTTGAGAACAGCTAATCTGTGGTTGATCCCTTTTATTTCTATAATATTTCCTGCCAAAATTTTATGGATTATAAATCCTACTCCAAGTTGGCTAGTGTTTTGACCTATGTGGTAGAAAATATGTCCACTATTTAGTTGCATTAGTCTCTCGCCATGTCTCCTGACTTCAAAAAGTCCGATAATGTCCCATTTCATTTTGCTTTGAAGTAGTGCTTCTTCTAGCTCTATTAGCGAATAATAATAATAATGGATTCTAGTTGCTGTTATTAGGGTCACGACACGTAGGTTAACTAACAGCATGACCCCCACCTGGCACTGCCATTAGAAAAGTTACCACTTCAAGATTCCCTGTACTTACCTGCCTACAGTAAGTCTTCCAGAAGCAGTAGCCAAGGCTCTCTTGCTATCATCATGTAAATCATTAGTTGACATTTCCTTTTTCCTTGGTGATGAGGGCCTAGCTGAGATGCTTTGTCTGTAATAAGGCTGATGCATATCCACATTGGTGCTAGTGGCTGGGTTTTCAGCTTTAAAAGAAATACAGATTGATTTACAGGATTTATTTGAGTATAAATAAAATCATTAAAGCTAAAATGGTATTTTTTACAAATAGATTATAGAAGAAGAGCTGAACCCGAAAAACTAATGAAACAACATCTGGGTTCCCCATTTCCCCGACAGTGCTCTTGCTTACGTTTTCATCATCTACGCAATAAATACTGTTAGTTAGTTAGTATAGTTAAGCCTAATATGGAGTGACACACCTTTTTGGAGTTGCACACCTTTTGGCGACAGTAGTCCTCCGACCTCTTTTCCCACTCCATGGTACATTCAAAGTTGTATTGCATTTTTTGTCATTTGCTTTGCCGAAATAAATAAAATAAAAATAAAATAAAATATTCAACTTATAATGGACCAGAAACCACGACTCAGAAATACTGGGATGGTGTCCGGCGAAGGATAGTTTTACCTTTTATAGTAGTTTAAGTCATTACAATCACAATCTCAATTTTCAAGCCCCAGAACTTTGACTCAGAAATACCGGGATGATGTCCGGCGGGGGATAGTTTATTACCTGATATAGTTACGTTTTTACCTGTTATTATATACTATTTCTGGGTGGACTTTTGCACTTTTATTTATGTAAAATGTCCTTACAAATGACAAATTAATATAATACAGGTACTGAATACTGAATATTTTTACCACTCTATCAAATTGTCCCCCGCTCGGGAGACGTTCCATCACTTTTTAACTGCAAATTGCACAAAGAGCTCATTCCTCTCTTATAGTTCTTTGGTATATCATTGATCAACAACCACCTTATAACAATTACAGCTAGCATTCTTTATCTACTTTACAAGTTTACAACAAAAAATACCCACACATCAAAACTTATCATTACAAAAATTGTAATTAATAGCAATGTCACAGCACCTAAAACTAACTATGAATTTTAAAGAGAGGCACATCATTTGACCAAATAAGAACACAAATGGAACAAAAGTACCATTCCTATGGCCCGTAGCATATATTAAAGTGATTTGGTGAAACTAAGGATTTGCATGTAATCTATCTAAAATGATTAACTTTGTAGGAAACAAACAATAAAGACATATTCTCTAATTATATTTTTCTGAATACGGTGATACTCATCGGGGGATGGGGGGCCTTGCAATGGCTAGCTAAGAGTTTTGAGATGTAAAGAACTGGTTATTAGATTTTATTAGATTTTTTTATTAGATTTTAAATAGTATTTTTATTTATGGTATTAATAAGTTGTTAGGCCTACTTGAAGAAAGCGCTGTACCATACCTGTCATGATGGCCATGATACTTTTGCTATAGTGTTCATTAAGAGACTTGAGAGCCTGTGCAGTGCCCAGGAGGTCTCCTCCAAGAGACTCTGGCAACCTCCAACGATTTGTGCAGCCAACTTGAGAACGTACTCGACATCGTGGGGACACCTCAAGCTACAATAAAAATAAATAGCATAAAGTAATCATGTTTACTATTTCATTACAATGAACTCTGAACATTTTACATTAAACAGTATCTCAGGGGTCTCAAGTTGGAAGATGTAGCCACTTCCAGGAGATCTGTTTAAATGAACTTTAAACACATACAGTATAATTCTATTTTCCTGTGCATGGTGATCAGCATTGATGTCCGGGAAACAATTTTACATACAGTAGTAAAAAACACATGTTTCCATGACTTGCAGAAACTTGGAACCCCTGGTATTATTTTATAGACTTAAACTGCTCTTGAAGGACTTTGTTACATATGCTACAAACCATTGGCGGTTGTCTTCCATCTACCACAACACCCTGAAGAGCTGTAAGTGGTGCATTATGGAATGCTCTGAAAAGGTATTTAAAATTAAAAAAATTAAAATAATTCACAAATTCAATTATACAGAAATTATACATTATAACATTATAATATACTTATTTTGTTATAATTTGTGTACAGTATGGTGCCCCTTATAGATAAAAATCGACAAAAGAAATAAATAAAAAAAACAAAACAAAAAACAGAATAGGCTAGGTAGGCCTAGGCCCCTATGCCAACAGTTGAAAAACTGACGAAAAATAGTTTCTTTTTACCTTTTATAGTATCTAACAAGAGACTTATCCACAACTAGGCCTACTGTCATACTTAAATAGTACAGAAGTAATGATTATTGGAAAATAAGTGAATTATATGAAAGTCAAATCATTAAAGAATGTTTTAAATAACTTGGTAAGTGATTTGACGGCCGAATGCGAAAACGTATACTACTACTACTGCTACTAATACAACTACAGGCAATATTAATAGGGCCTAGGCTATTTGAATGTAAGAAAAAATGGCCCCAGTAAAAATTGCCCTGGTAAAAATGGCCCCACAAATGACAAGTAGGTAAAAATGGCCCCAATGAAAAAATTCAGAAATAGAAATTATATTTTTTTTTAAATCTTCAAAAATTTAAAAACTGTATATAGCAAGAATTGAATCAATAAATAAAAAATAGCCCCCAATTATACAATTCAATCAAAAAATAAATTTTCAATGCTGTAAAATACCCTGTAAATTTATAAAATAAGTTTTATTTTTTCCTTTGAAAATAAGATCAATTTATGTGATTTTAAAAAATTTTTTTCTAAAAGTATTTGTTTTTTAACAAATAAAGTTACACAACAGATGCAAATAATGTACTAAGAGATTATCGGATAACAATGGCCATTGAACAACATTTTTTGATAGTAGAAATAAAAGTTTTAAAAACGTTATTCCACTAACAAAGTAGAGGAATGACATGCATACAGTACTTTAACTACCAAAATATGCAACTCATAGATAACAACAAAATTCACTTTTGTTAAGTATCAAATGAAATAACTTTACATGTTATAAACAATGAAAATAAACAGTAGTTAAAGCATGTGGATAAATTGTGTGTTTGAATCACAAGTTCATGTATGGGAAAAGGGAGAGGCTTACTTTCTCACAAAGTTAGCAATAAATGTTCTGTTTAGAGTTACTTCAAAGAAGTATTTGTTTATCAAATATTGTTTTTAGTAATCTGAATAATTAGGAATACATTTATTTAAGAAACTTATTTAATTGCATACTTGGTTTTTACTCCCCGCCAACTAAATCCAAGTGACTACTACTGGCTCAGAAACCAGTGGACATAATAGTTTTTGTTGTCAATTTATTATTTTCAAAACTATACTAAATAATGTAAATACATGTAGTTATCATTATGTAAATATGGCAATTATGCTAAGAATTAAAATAGTGTGTAAGGGTAGGGTAATTATGGTAGGATTAAATGGTATTGCAAATCCCACAAACCTCCTAAAACACACTGTAGAAAACCAAATAATTCAATTGTGATTGACTCACTTCAATAAGAAAATTAAATACATTCATAAGAACCTAATTTATGGTTAAAATGTTGATTTTTTTTTGTGAAAAAATACTTGCAAAATACACCACAAACCTCCAAACACACTGCAAACCCCATCCAAACCCTTTAATTATGATTGTAGAACTTTCTTTTTCTTAAACAAATAATAATTTGATGTTCATATCAACCCATTGTGGGGATTACCAATACCCAGATTGAATTTCTGGAAAATTGTGATTCCGCCTCAGTGAATTTGGCCACAAATAAATTGCTTTAGTATTAATAAATGCATGATTTATGTTGATCTATTGATTATGTTGTTGCTATTTTTTAACATTCAAATGGAAAGTGTTATTAATGGCATTTTTATCTTTGAGTACTGTATGTAATTCCTGCAAAAAGTAAAATATAAATGGAAATTTATTTGATGTTAGATTCCCTTTAAAAAATAAATTATTTCAGTTAAAAAAAATGAATAATGATTTTTTTTAAATTTTATTATTGGGGGCCATTTTTACCTACCTGTCATTTAGGACCATTTTTACTGGGGCCATTTTTTCCTGAGCCATTATTACCGTACACTAGGCCGTTTTAGCAAGATTCAAGATAGATTTTATTGTCACATATAAAAAAAAAATATACATGAGATTTGCTTTCCTGTGCTTATACATAAAAAAAAAACAAAAACACAAACACATTACATAAAATATAAATATATCACAAATACAATAGCACCAAAAACCTTAACTAACTTTACTAAAGAGAAAGACAGTGGAATTGAGCTTAAACAACAAAGGTACCTAAATAATACTGAATATTTTGAATAGTTAATAAATTAAAAACCAAGTATATACTTACATATTGTATTTTAACAACTCTTTTGGCATTTTAGGTGGAACGGCGGGTAGAAACGGCAATTTCGGTCGTTTTCCTTGGTTATGAATACTACCAACCGGTGGCATCAACAGAATATCATCCGACGGCGACATTGTTTATCCTTCCTTCTTCTGTTTCAGTTTTTCTACAACAGAAAAATCAACAATTATTAGTCTAGCCCTGCGGGCATTCACAGCTATCCGTTGGCATAGGCCTACATTTTTTTTTTTATCGTGTTTTTGCTTTCAAAGGGATACTGTATTTGAGTCGTTGACATTCAACAATACCTGGCTTATCAAACAAGCAGCACAAAGTTTGTTTATGGTGTTACACGATTCACTTTTACCTGTTTTGTACACACAATAAACAATGCCGTTTCACGAATCACAAAAAACATCACGACACATCCAACACACCTAGCTTAGCAACTGTATCCATGTGGTGGCGCTATTTTTAGTGATGTGATTAGGGGATTCCCCGACGGCTCTTTATCGCGCAATAGTCCGTGATGTACCGTCGTTGTGCAGAAGTGTAAAAGCCTTGTTCGCACTGGATTTTAAAAATGGTAAATTTAACCAGGGTAACTTTAACCAAAGTCATGGGTACATTTCACCATTGTTCGCACTTGGATTATTTCACGCGGTTAGTTTTACCATAGTTGTACCATGGAGGTATTATTGAGAAGGAGATCACTCGGCAAAGCTTCCCTTTGACGCGACAAACCCATGTGTTCCCCGCTTTTGCATCGCGCGCGGGCGTATTACCCTATAATTCACATTTTTTCGTTAGCAACAACTTGACAACGACATGCATTTATACGCTTCCAGCAGAGCAGTTGTGCAAAAAGCGTTTGATTTTAACCCATTAAATATCTTTATAATGAACAGTGTTCCCCTGATTAGATTTTTCGGACTTTTGGTATGTTACGGTATTATTTGTATATTTCAGGAACGGATTCCGTAAAATATTTATGTTAAAATTACTTCTGTGTTCATTATAATTTTGTCTAAAGATTGATTAGTTCTCGTATAAAGCTAAGTCAGCGTAAAACTGAAAAATACTCAGATTTTGGATTGATTTTTCGAATAATTAACCCTCGTTGACCCTAAAATGACTTAAGCCTTGTTCGCACTGGATTTAAAAAATGGTAAATTTAACCAGGGTAACTTTAACCAAAGTCATAGGTACATTTCACCATTGTTCGCACTTGGATTATTCACGCGGTTAGTTTTACCATAGTTTTACCATGGAGGTAGTATTGAGAAGGAGATCACTCGGCAACAGTTCCCTTTGACGCGACAAACCCATGTGTTCCCCGCTTTTGGATCGCGCGCGGGCGTATTACCTTATAATTCACATTTTTTCGTTAGCAACAACTTGACAACGACATGCATTTATACGCTTCCAGCAGAGCAGTTGTGCAAATTAAATATCTTTATAATGAACAGTGTTCCCCTGATTAGATTTTTCGGACTTTTGGTATGTTATTATTTGTATATTTCAGGAACGGATTCCGTAAAATATTTATGTTAAAATTACTTCTGTGTTCATTATAATTTTGTCTAAAGATTGATTAGTTCGACTATAAAGCTAAGTCAGCGTAAAACTGAAAAATACTCAAATTTTGGATTGATTTTTCGAATAATTAACCCTCGTTAACCCTAAAATGACTTAGTTTATTATAATCTTCAATCATTTATTAATTAATATCTGTTAAAATTAGAATTAGCGAATTTTGGCCAATTTATGGAAATTGAAGTTAAACTATACTATACTTTTAAAGGTCATGTAAATGTTGGATTAAATTCGAAACTTTTTTTGGTGGAAAATATTAATATGTTTGATATTTTATGAGAGATAAATGTATCAGCTTCAAAATGGAAACGATTGCGCAGCTATAGCGATTGACTGTATGTAGTGCGCATCGAGAAAAGAAGGTGCTCTCCATTTCGCCATGTTCAATTTTTTCGGTAAACTATGCCTACTGAAAATTTGATGGCGGGTAACACATGGATGGGACTTCCAAGGATGGCGCGTGAAGAACGTAAACGTTCTTCACGCGCTGCGGCAGCTTTGATCTTGGTTCATTTGCATAGCGAGCCATACATTTAAATCCTTTTTTTTCCCACCGTGGAGCTTTGCCCGTGTAGTCCAGTCATGCGCAGTACATACACTTTTTCGAATCGTCGATCCGGAAGTATGCGGCGCTGATAGAGATGTTGTTAAAATACAGATATACAGATACATACATGCAGATATATTTATATATATGTACTGTATTTATTTATATATCTATTTATATTTATATATATATTATTTCTGTCTCTTATACTAAATACCTAGGCCCTTCACCCCTAAGCCAGAGGCCCGGCTTTTTCCCACACATGAAGTTGTTCATCTAGGCCTAAACTAGGTAATATGCCGAGGGCCTTGGTCTAGGCCTAGGTTGACTGAACTTTAATGTTTTTTTAAAGCATTAAAGTAAAGTCTAAAATTTTAGAGAAAGACATGATAATATACATACCTGTATACGTACTATTTTGAATCCAAAATACCATGTAAATGCGTGTGTTTACAGTCATAATTTGGATGAATTCCAAAATGGCGTATTTAGAAATTGGTTTAAAAATCTACGCTGGTTCCCGGCGTTTGAGGCTGCTCCAGTATAGTAAATAAACTGTTGTAATCTGATTGTATATACAATATACAGGACGGCATAAGCCAGATTAGGATTATATAACCCTCGCATATTGCATTTTACAAGGACAGTCACCAGTCCTACATATATGTATATGATGACAGTAGAATAATGGGGTGGTAGTGCGCATTGAGAAAAGAAGGTGCTCTCCATTTCGTCATGTTTAATTTTTTGGTCAACTATGCCTGTTGAAAATTTAATGGCGGGGAACACATGGGACTTCAAAGGCATTTATTAATTAATAAATGATTAAGGATTATAATAAACTAAGTCATTTTAGGGTTAACGAGGGTTAACTATTCGAAAAATGAATCCAAAATCTGAGTATTTTTCAGTTTTACACTGACTTAGCATTATAGTCGAACCAGTCAATCTTTAGACAAAATTATAATGAACACAGAAGTAATTTTAACATAAATATTTTACGGAATCCGTTCCTGAAATATACAAATAATAACATACCAAAAGCCCGAAAAAATCTAATCAGGGGAACATTGTTCATTATAAAGATATTTAATGGGTTAAAATCAAACGTTTTATTGCACAACTGCTCTGCTGGAAGCGTATAAATGCATGTCGTTGCCAAGTTGTTGCTAACGAAAAAGTGTGAATTATAGGGTAATACGCCTGCGTGCGATCCAAAAGCGGGGAACACATTGGTTTGTCGCGTCAAAGGGATCTGTTGCCGAGTGATCTCCTTCTCAATAATACCTCCATGGTTTTACCAAGATTTAACCTTGTCATGAACCTTGTGTATAAAAAATATTATTGAGGGCGCTAGTTTGTGACTTCAACTTCCGGTTTTGTTCGAGCGGTGTCAACATGGAAGGAGTTTTAACCGTGTTGCACGTTCGCATTGGACTTCTTGACCAGCGTGGTTAGTTTAACCATGGAGGAAATATATTTAATAATAATATATTTCCTCCATGGTTTAACCGAGACCGTGGTTAAGTTTTACTGGGCAGGCTGAGGTCGGTAAGATTAACCATTCGGCTTGGTTAATTTAACCCTGAGGGAATTGTAACCGACGTTCGGATTGGATTTTTTTTTTTGGTCAATTTAGCCAGTGACTCGGTTAATTTGACCAAATTAAGTCCAGTGCGATAGGGGCTTAATTCATATAGCCTGGGTGCAGTAGGAAATTAGCAGGAAAAAAGTAAAGGAAAATTTATTTTTGGTTTTTCTGAATCAGTATATCATATAGTGTCTAAGAAAAAAATCCCCATTCTTAAAGCTTGGGCAATTTTTTTTATAGCACTTTAAAATTTTGACATAAAATATCCTATTTTGGGCTAATTAAGATGGGGGTAAGGAAAATAAATGTATGTTTTTAATCACTTTTACATATGCTATGTGTATCAAATGTAACAAGGACTTGGCTAAATAGTTACTCCTCACTCTCGTTAAATAATTTAATCGGAATAATGGCGTCATCACAAAAAATTCCAAGATGGCTGACATTTTGGCGGTAAAACTCTTTTAAAATGTAAATTTAACTTTATTGTTATAAGAGCAATTTCAAAACAATATATATCCATACACACACACACATA